GCTCATTATTTCGACAGACGTTGTATTCACTTACTCGTTATTGCATTCTGCGCATTCGTCTCATTTACAACTCATAACAGTATGAGCCTTAGAATGAAGCAGAATGTTAAACGCAGGGGTAGTGTACATTTATCTTAAGTTTGAAGTTATGTGAATGATCGCTACGGGCTTTGAGGCGTGTGTAGTGACCAGCTCCCGATACAAAAGCAACTGGGCTGTATTCATTCAGCATCAACATTCGAAAATTAGCGCGAAAAGGTCGCGAGAGTGCGACCGAGAGGCGAGCATTCACGAACTGGTTACCAGGTACACTCTCTGTCCGCAAATGGCGCCGGAGATTCCACCCGCGCAGTCGGAGTACGAAGCTGCGCGGAAGCAGCAGATTCAGGAAAACCAGAAGCGAATGGCGGTGAGTCAGTCGCGCGCTCTTTGATTTTGGCCCACCACTCCGTACCGCGTGCGTCATGCACGTGCTCGCACATTTCGTTACACGTTGCCCTAAACCGCGAGGCGACGTGACGCACTCGTGGTCTCTCATGATGGTGCGTGTGAGGTCTTGAGTCTTGGAGAATGGCACCTCGTAAAAATGGCGCCTCGCGATGGCGCGTCACCCCTCCCTATCCCTCTCCCTCCCCCCTTCCCTTTCGTTTTGTCACAGCAGCAACTACAACTTGATTCCCTTCTCTTCATGATCGCATAATTCGATTGGATTGCCTCCCTCCTCCTCCCCTATCAGCGCCTCCTATTCCCTTTTCCCATCCAATCACCATGCTCTAATGCAGATGAATCACCCCATGTGACACCTTCCTTTCCCCCTACCATCTGATTTTTCCCATGCTCTCAGGATGCAACTTTCCCATACTGACATCTCCCTTTTCCCTGTCCATCTAGCCCGTCTCTTCTCTCATATGCCACTTCCCTGTCCCCTGCCACACCCCAAGTTCCATATCATCCTCTTCATGCCCTCAGGGCGGATTCCTGGCTTCGGGACATCCGGTGTTTGGGCCTTCCGAACATGTGGGATGACTCGAGGCATAATACTGCACCTCGTGTCAATGACCACATTTCCCACGCGATTTCGGAGGTCTGAGTTGACGAGAGCTACCACATCTCGTCACCCACGCCCTGCTGTTCATTGGTCACCTGTTGTTTGACCGAAATCGCGCGACTTCAAATCGCGCCTTCACGAACAGTGAGCCACCAATGTCGATTTGTGTGAGTCCAGAGTGTTCCACGTGCGTGCATTTAGCGAAGCTGTCTGACGTCAATTCTGTGGGAAAATTGAGTCAATTGACAGGCGACCCCAACTGGTCGCGCGTTCCCAACCCGAGTCATTGTAGGGGGTGAAAGTGATTTCGGTTACCCTTCGTTGGATGCACTTGCGATGCGACCACCGTGGGTTCCCGAATCGGGAAACCCAAAGTCGAATCGGAAGTCGGTTCGGAAAAAAAATATTTGGAAGTTTCGAAGTGCGGATGTGCGGAAGCCAGGAATCTGCCCTCACTGTCGGACCGAACTGCCCCTCTCTCATTCTCCCATATGGACACCTTGGCTTTCCTCCCTGTCCATCCATCCCACCAGGTAGGTACCTTTCCATCCTCCCCATGATCAACACATGCCAGGCACAGACACTCTACATCCAGCTATACCCTGCTCTGCTGCTGCTCTGCAGCTAACAGTTTGTCCCTTTACCAATCTAGTTTTCCCTCCCAGTTCCGAGTCTTTTTTTTTGTTGACACCTGCCAGGCGCAAACCCTCGTTTCCAAGGTATGCCCTGCGGCAATGCTGCTCTGCTCTGCAGCTAACATGATGTCTCTTTTCCAATCAAGTTCCCTCTCCCTCTTTCTCGTGGCCGACACATGCCTGGCTCCGAGGGATGAAATGAATGATCTTCGTGCTGCTGACAGTGTTTTCCCTCTCCCTTGTTCGAGTTTTTTCATCTCTTTTTTTTATCAACACCTGCCATGGTGAAACCCCCTCTTCCAAGGTAGGCCCTGCCCTGCCCTGCCCTGCCCTGCCCTGCCCTGCCCTGCTCTGCTGCTGTCAATGCGTTTCTGGCTCTTTCTCTGGTCAACACCTGCCATGTTGAAACCCTGCCCTGCACTTCTGCTGCCCTCTCTCTTCCCTCTTTCTTAGGCCCCACCCTGCCCTGCCCTGCTGCTGTCAATGCGTTTCTGGCCCCAAATGTTTCTCTTACCGTCTTCCCAGTTCTCTCATGTTGTCCCATTATCGACACCTGTCACGCATCACTCTATCGTAGGCCCTGCTCACATGGCTGCTTGACTCTTGACTGACTTAGGTGCTGGACCTACATTTGTACACTTCCCTCTTTCAAGGCGTAACACTCTAATGTTTGGCTTTTGATCTTCAATGTGTGGCACATGCTGGGATTGCACTCTTGCTGTCATGCATGGATGCATGCATGTATGGGTGGTTGAGTGGACGGACGGACAGACGGACAGACGGACGGACGGACGGACGGACAGACGGACAGACGGACGGACGGACGGACGCACGGATGGACGGACGGATGGAAGGATGGACGGATGGGCATGTGCCGTTTCCTTCCACCACATAACCCCCTTTGTGCAGATCTACTTCCCCCCTTGCTCTCCGTCTATAAATGTGTAACTTCTGGAAGTTTCAAAAGTGACCCCCCTGGCACGGTCTCTGTATCAGCAGTGCAAAAAAAAAAAAAAAAAAAAAAAAAACAGCATTGCTCTTGGCCTTTCACCCTTTGCCCCCTCCCTTTACCCCTTCCCACTGTGTAACCCGCTCACTGCAGATCTACTCCCCTAGCATCGTCTCTGTCGCCAGCAGTGCCAATCGAAACACACCCTGTGACTCCACCCTCTGTGCATATCTACTCGCCCGGCATTGTCTCTGTTGCCAGCAGTGCCAAGGGCGAGATGTTCTACTCTTACCTGCCTGACCTCGATGTGAGAAAATGGCTGCCGTTGATGTAAGCACGTCTGTACAAGCACATCCTGAAAGAAGCACATTTTGCTGTGGTCACAAGTGCTGTGAGATGTCTTATTCGTACCTGCCTGACCTTGATGTGAGAAAATAGCTGCTATTGATGTAAGCACACGTCTGTGGTCACAAATGCTGTGAGATGACCTACCTACTCCTACTTGCCTGACCTAGATGTGAGCACATGCCTTACAAGCATATTCTGAGATAAGCACCACAATCGGCTGTCTTCACATGCTGTCCGCCCCCACTCCCCTCGTCCCTTGTCTCTCTCACCGCACACACTGCACTGTCTCTCTCACCGCACACACTGCACTGTCTCTCTCACCCGCACACACTGCACTGTCTCTCTCACCGCACACACTGCACTGTCTCTCTCACCACACACACTGCACTGTCTCTCTCACCACACACACTGCACTGTCTCTCTCACCGCACACACTGCACTGTCTCTCTCACCACACACACTGCACTGTCTCTCACCACACACACTGCACTGTCTCTCTCACCACACACACTGCACTGTCTCTCTCACCGCACACACTGCACTGTCTCTCTCACCACACACACTGCACTGTCTCTCTCACCGCACACACTGCACTGTCTCTCTCACCGCACACACTGCACTGTCTCTCTCACCGCACACACTGCACTGTCTCTCTCACCACACACACTGCACTGTCTCTCTCACCACACACACTGCACTGTCTCTCTCACCGCACACACTGCACTGTCTCTCTCACCACACACACTGCACTGTCTCTCTCACCACACACACTGCACTGTCTCTCTCACCACACACACTGCACTGTCTCTCTCACCGCACACACTGCACTGTCTCTCTCACCGCACACACTGCACTGTCTCTCTCACCGCACACACTGCACTGTCTCTCTCACCACACACACTGCACTGTCTCTCTCACCACACACACTGCACTGTCTCTCTCACCGCACACACTGCACTGTCTCTCTCACCACACACACTGCACTGTCTCTCACCACACACACTGCACTGTCTCTCTCACCACACACACTGCACTGTCTCTCTCACCACACACACTGCACTGTCTCTCTTTCGCCTCGTGCTCCTCTCTTCTCGTCCCTCTCTGCTGTGTTCAACTGAACTTTATATTAGCTAATCTCTTCCACGTACAAGCATATCTCCTCTTGTGTTCTGCTGGGAGTGACAGTGGTTAATCTTGTCACCTTCCACACGCAGACCTTTCCCCCAATCTTCTCATCCCTCACCTAGTTGCATGCAGTTGGGAGTCACAGTGGTGGATCTCTTCACATACCACACGCTGCACTTTCTGCATCAAATCAACGTTCGCTCAAACACCTCCCCTTGCCAGGTAATGCCCCCCTCGCCAGGTAATGCCTCCCCAGGTAGTTTTGTTTTCTTTCCATAAAACGGCATGCTCAAAGCAATGTTAATGTTGCAAGTAATGTTCTCGTGCTTGCTCTTCCTCGTTGCCACCCCAACCCATGAATGTGCGTCCGTGCACAAGCCAGCCCACACCCATGTGTGTGCACCCCTGCACCCATGTGTGTGCACCCCTGCACCCATGTGTGTGCACCCCTGCACCCATGTGTGTGCACCCCTGCAGCCATGCCATATATGTGTCTTATGTTCCACAACTTCCAACTCAACGTCACTCTAGTTGAGCTCCATAATCTTCCCTTTCACGTGTCTCTTATCATCTTCATGCCATGCCACACCATGCCACGTCATGCCTGTGTAGTCTCTTTGAGTCGTACGATCCACGGTTCCTCATGTCCACTCCGGGCTATCGCAGTGTCAACTCCCCCGCGCCTCTGCACCAGGTGACGCTCGCACTACCATGCCATGCCATGCTGTGCTGTGCCATGCCCTGCCATGCTGTGCCCGCACCAGATGATGCCCGCACCAGATGATGCCCGCACCAGATGATGCCCGCACCAGATGATGCCTGCACCAGATGATTCCCACACCAGATGATTCCCGCTCCAGATGATTCCCGCTCCAGATGATTCCCGCTCCAGATGATGCCCACACTGCCGTGCCCATGCCATGTCATATGCTACCAACTCACTTGCTCGTGCCGGCCAAATTCCACCCACTGCTTACACATTCTTCGTACTGCATTGTACCTCAATCCACCTTCCGGCCATTCGTTTGGCCTTTCCCCTTCTGCTCTCTGCCCTCTCTTCCCTCTCTCCCTTCTCTCCCCTCTCTTCCCTCTCTCCCTTCTCTCCCCTCTCTCCCCTCTCTCTCTCCTCCCTAAATCCCTCCTCCCTCACCCAACAGGTGTCAGTACTATGTCGCCTCAGTCATGCCTGTCCAGATAACACCTATCCCGTACCCCCTCTCTCCTCTCCACTACCTGCTCCCTCACGCAACAGGTGTCAGTACTATGTCGCATCAGTCATGCCTGTCTAGATAACACCTGCCCCATACCGTACCCTCTCTCTTCCACCGACATACCCCTGTCTGAAGCGAGAATGGAAAAGGGAAAAACCGTTGTAGCAGAGAGAGGAGGTGATGGAGGGAATGGTGTGCGAGAGGAGGCAGGTGCGGGCGAGGAAGGTGGGAGCGAAGAAGCAAGGCGTGGGAAAGGCGAGATGGAAAAGGACTGGACAATGCTGTCATGTGGTTTGGCGATGGTATGCCTAAAGCGGTGTTTGTGAATCGGTCCCAGGAAAGCATATCTCCTCGCTTTGTCAGCAGCACTCGTGGTGTCTCACGATGGTGCGCGTATCACATGATGGCCATGATACAAGCATGGTGCGCGTATCACATGATGGCCATGATACAAGCATGGTGCGCGTATCACATGATGGCCATGATACAAGCATGGTGCGCGTATCACATGATGGCCATGATGCAAGCATGGTGCGCGTATCACATGATGACCATGATACAAGCATGGTGCGCGTATCACTTGATGGCCATGATACAAGCATGGTGCGCGTATCACATGATGGCCATGATACAAGCATGGTGCACGTATCACATGATGGCCATGATACAAGCATGGTGCGCGTATCACATGATGGCCATGGTGCGCGTATCACATGATGGCCATGATACAAGCATGGTGCGCGTATCACATGATGGCCATGATACAAGCATGGTGCGGGTATCACTTGATGGCCATGATACAAGCATGGTGCGTGTATCACTTACAAGCTTGAGGCTTTTGAGTAGGGCACATCATGCTACCACATTTTGTATGAAGAAGTGTTTTGAGACGTCTCGAAACACTTCATAATACTTTTGAGTCGGGCGCATCGTGCTGCCCGACCACATTGACGCGACTAGGAAAAACGGTGCCTCACGATGGCGCGACACATGCACACTCAACATCAGCACACCTATCACACACTACAGGACGCATCAGAGAGCCCGTTGTAATGCCCACGTGGAGAGCAACGCGGGTCGGGCTTTGCTTCTGCTTCTCCCTTGCCACTAGATCTCGCGCTTTCCCCTTTCCCCTCTCGCCTTTGCCGTACTGAAAGCCTCGAGCGACCATGCCACAAGGCCATGCCACAAGGCCATGCCACAAGGCCATGCCACAAGGCCATGCCCCAAGGCCATGCCACAAGGCCATGCCACAAGGCCATGCCACAAGGCCATGCCACAAGGCCATGCCACAAGGCCATGCCACAAGGCCATGCCACAAGGCCATGCCACAAGGCCATGCCACAAGGCCATGCCACAAGGCCATGCCACAAGGCCATGCCACAAGGCCATGCCACAAGGCCATGCCACAAGGCCATGCCACAAGGCCTTTAGGATACTTGCTGCTTCCTTCTCTCTCACGTCCTCCTTCCCCACCCCTCTTGTCCCTCCCACTTCTCTCGTCCCTCCCGCTGCTCAGTCCCTCCCACCCCTCCCAGTTTGTTGTTGTATAATTTTCTTCTTTCCATCTAAGCATGTCTGGATGGTGTAGTCGGTTATCACGCCAGTCTCACACACTGGAGGTCTCCGGTTCGATTCCGGGTTCAGACAACATTTATGTCTCCTACACTCTTGTGCACATTCCGCCTACCAGTCTCACTTGACCTGCACCATGTTATTAATCCTTTTCCAGTCAATCCTTCCCCCACGCATTCCCTTATCCCTCTTCCCTCCCCCTCCCCCTTCTTTCTGGCACAGCAGCAGCTACACTTTGATCCCCCTCATGATTGCATAATGCGATTGGATTGCCCCCTTTCTTCTCCGATGTGACACCTCCTGTTCCCTTGTCCCACCCAGGCACCTTGCTCTAGAGCAACTGAATCGCCCTGTCCTCCCCCGTGTGACACCTTCCTTACCCCTTGCCATTCGTTTTCCTCAGGCACTTGTAATGCAACTCTCACCTAGCAACTCCTCCCTTTCTCCTGTCCCATCCCACCAGGCACCATTCCATCCTCCTCATGAATCTAATTTTGAGGCGCCGCAAAAATAGAAAGCATTGCTCTCGCAAGGCACCTCTCCCCTATGGACACCGCCATTTCCCCTGTCCCATCCCACCAGGTACCACTCCATCCTCATGATTGACGACACCTGCCAGGCGCTAACGAGGTATGCCGTTCTCTCTTCCTCTGCTCCCATAATGCAAGTGAAACGCCCCATACCCTTTCCTGGAATACCTCCCTGTCCCCTGTGCCATCTCACCACAGGTACCACTCCATCCTCCTCATGACCGACATATGCCAGGCGCAAGCTCCTCACCTCCGAGGTATTCCCTTCACTGCTACCTGTTTGCTTTACCTTCTGACTCTGCAGCTCTTGACCCACCTGTTTCTCTCTCTCCCTCTCTCCACCCTCCTTGTGATCCACACATGCCAGGCGCAAACCCCTTACTCCAAGGTATGCCGTGCTCTGATGCTGCCCTGCATCTAACAGCATGTCACTTTACTAATCTGGTTCTCTCTCCCTCTTTTGAGTCTTCCCATGATGGACACCTGCTAGGTGCAAACTCTCTTTTCCGAGGACCCCTGCCTCAAACTCTTCCCCGCTGCCTTGACAGAGATAGTCCACAACAAACCCTGCCTCACCCTGGCTCCTGGCAGGTAAAGCTGGTGTCGCTGGCGGGGGAGAGCGAGTATGCATCATCGCTTGCATCAGGGCGGGTGACAGCGATAGTGGGCAAGGACCCCTACATTTGAGACGTCTCAAAATTCAGGAAGGGTGACAGCGATAGTGGGCAAGGACCCCTACCCTTGAGACGTCTCAAAAGTCAGGAAGGGTGACAGCGATAGTGGTCAAGGACCCCTACCCTACCTCAACCTCTTATCCGCTTCCTTCTGTGACGGCGTTCAGGCGGCGCAATTCTTCCCTACGGTGCAATGTAGGCGAGAATTCTGAAGAATCATTCAGGCGGCGCAACCCTTCCCCATCCTCAACCCCACGTTTGTAGGTTCTCTGTGGTGCACTGTAGGTCTGTGCACTGTAGGTCTGTGCACTGTGGTCGCATGTGTGCAAGCTGGGAGTCTGTGCACGGCCGCACGCATGTGCATGTGCATTTGCGTGTGTGTGTGTCTACACGTGCATGTCATGCATCTCCCATCCACATGCACAAGGAAACGTTTTCTCTTGCCTGTCGCGACCGGCACCACGTGCCTATTTCATTCATCGCCATGCTAAACTGGGTTGCATTCTCCCCTTCCTCCCTTCGCTTTCCTGCCTCCTCTCCCTCCTCCCCGCACCACTCTTTCCTTCTCTCACCACCGTTGACCCCCAAATCATACCCTCTTTCCTCACCCCCACTCCCCACCCTGCAACCCTTGCCCTTCCCTCCCTTCCATCGTCAACCCATGCCTTCCCCAAGGGGTCACAGGTAGGCGCAGGCGTCTCTCATTTTTTACCCCCCTCTCCCCTTTCCCCTGTGCCCCATCCCTCTCACAACCACCATCCCCACCCCCCCCCCCCCCCCCTCCCCCTTTTCAAGCATTCCATGAGGGGTCACAGGGCGGGCCGGACATCTCCCAGGCTATCCTCGAGCTGCAGATGTTTCCAGAAATCAAAGCGTCTCAACACTCCCCCCCTCTCCTCTCACCATCGTCACCCCCCAGGCATTCCCCAAGGGGTCACAATGGGGAGCGGACAGCGGACATCTCTCTGACCATCCTCGTCTTCAGATGCAGGGGGAGCTGGAGCGTGTCAAGGATCAGTACTTGCTTGCAGGTGGATGCGTGAGAGAAGCACCTATGAGGATTTGCTCTTTCAGACAGGTGCAGAGGTGACTGCACAAGTGATTTCTCTTAAAGAAGGGGAGCTGGAGTGGCTCAAGGTGCAATACATGTAGGCGGGTGTGAAAATCGCCAGAGTGGGTATGATTTCGTTCTTATTTGATTGTTTGTTTGTTTGTTTGTTTTTCTTTCTTTCTTTCTTTCTTTCTTTCTTATTTTCTTTTCTTTTCTTTTCCTTTCTTTTCTAGTATTTTCTTTTCTTTTTCATGAATGTAAAAAGTCCTTGAGGGGCTCAAGGGGAGGTACTTTCTGGTTGGTGAGGGAGTCAAACACGAGGTTTTGCAGATTCAGCACCAACTCGGCGAGTCATTGTTGACGGAGGTCAACAATCACAGGTCTTCAGTGCTGCTCATCCTCTCCCCCCACCCCTCAACCTCACCTCGTTCAGAAGGACATGTGCGGTGAGGACCAGACCAGCTCATCAGTATTGACACAGGTGAACGTGGAGAAGTTCACGGCGCTACGCATCCTATACCCTGTCCACCCCACCGTTCTTTCAAGAGGACAGCATGTCCGTCTATGACCAAACCAGCTCAGCAGTATTGTCGGAGGTGAACGTGCACAAGTTCTCGCCTCTTCTCATCCTCTACCTTGTCGTCTAACTGCTCTGCTACATCGCGTATGTTGGCTTGCTCATCTACTGCGGTTACCGCTTTTTGAGGCGCCTCAAATTCTCCTCATAAATCTTTTTGAGGCGCTTCAAAAGTGGGCTGACTTGTCTACTGCGGTTACCAATACCACCGTGCGACCTTCCCCACTATGGTGGTTACCACAGACTCTTGCAAGGCATGCCAACTATGTGCACCATGGTTACAGTTCCGTTACAATAGTCCCATTTGTACGCCCTAAAAGTCCTCATTGTACACCCTATAAGTCCTCTTTGTACACCCTATCAGTACTCTTTGTACACGTTTTAAGTCTTCTTTGTACACCCAATAGGCCCCCTTTGTACACCCTATAAGTCCTCTTTGTACACCTTATAGGTCATCTTGTGCACACTATAAGTCCTCTTTGTGCACCTTATAAATCCTCTTTGTGCACTATACAAGTCATCTTTGTACACCCAATAAATCCTCTTTCTACATCGAAAAAACCCGAAACCTTAAGCCTTGGTAATACCTTGGTGTAGACACAGAGTGATAGAGGTCATAATATAAACCCTAAGAATCCCTAAGAACCTAATCTCATCTCTAAAATGGCATCGATGAATTCTTAAAAGTGCACCCGTCCCTAGCTCACCGGGCCTAGCTTACCCTCTTAGCGTCCTGGCGCGCTTTGTTGCGCCTGGGAGACACCGACCTTCTCTAGGTACGCGGCTAAGAGGGTGGCGAAGTATGTGGCGAGTATATCGGGCATATGACTTGTCCTTGGAGGGAAGCAGCCAGTTACACTCACATGTTTCTCGGACTTGTCGTGGGCCGACGACGCTGAGTCCCTGCGGTCTACACCTGATAAATGCTTCAACCTTGAAACCGGAGCTGTTTCGTAGAGGTCGACCCGGGCTTTGTCCGTCTCCACTTCCAGCTATGAGGCAGAGGTATACGCTGCGGCCATGGCCTCCTAGGAGCTTCGTTGGCTGCCTTTCCTCCTCACAGATCTTGGTGAGCGGCCTCGCTCTCCCCCTGTCTTGTTCGCCGACAACAGTCTGCTGTCCTATTTGTCAGAATCTAGTGAGTAGGTATGAACGCATTAGGCAGAAAGTTGGTACAAGTATAACCCTAATTGGGTTGTACCCCATATAGGCTACCCCACTACAACCTACACAACACACACAACATAATAGTTTGACACACCCCCATAAGCAAAGTGGGGGAGAACAAGGGGTTACAAGACTAGTCAAGGAAAGTAAAGCAAGCTCAGGGTGGATCACGAAGTCACCACACGCCCTGAGCACAAGCAAATGGCCATAAGGCCAGTTCACATGCAAAGTTGTATAAATGGGAACAAGCGTTATTGTGATCACAACCTAACAAGTGTAAGCATGCAGGCACAAGTATATAGATCACAGTACAAGCAAAGTCACGAAGTGAGCAAGTGAGGGAAAGTAGGCACAAGGCCTGACACAGTACACAAACGCTGATGATCACGAGGCTAAAGTGCCTTGGTGAATATATCAGCAGTGTTGGCCCGAGTGGCCATGTAAACAAGACGAAGTTGACCACGCTGCTGCAACTTTTGAGGAAGGAAGTAATGCAGATCGATGTGCTTCGTCCTGTGCTCTAGTCTGTGCTCCATTCTGTGCTCCTCACACAAGGCAATCATGACCTTGTTGTCTACGTACAGAACGGGAGGAGAACTAGGCCGCTCTCCCAAGTCGGTCAGTAGGTAGGTGAGCCAGCGTAACACCTGTGCAGCCATGACACCTGCGTAGATCTCAGCCTCAGAACTGGAACTGAGAACAGAAGACGAGCAGGTAGACCGCCAAGAAACAGAACCGGAACCAAGGCTGAAAGTGTAACCCTGTCACGACCGCTGCGTAGCCAAGTCGTCAACCCAAGACGCTTTTGCATGACCAGTGAGAAAAACTCGACTCCGTCCTCCAAGCACGAGCCCCATGCCTGACGTACTGCACAAGTAGCGTAACACCCTCTTAGCGGCCTCCCAGTGCTCTGGTCGGTGTCTCTCGGACGCAACGTAGCGTGCCAGGATGTTGAGAGGCTAAACAAGGTCAGGCCGAGTGCAGGTGATCAGGTATATAAGGCAGCCCACAAGCTCTGTATACGGGCCACTCGGCTCTACGGACTCGTCCGAAGGTGGAGCTGCAGAGGAGTGGATTGTGGCGAGGACCAAGTAAAGTCGAAGCGCTCAAGGACCTACTGCACCATGTCCTTGGGCCGGGCCGGGAGCGCTACTTCCTGCTGGTTGTCGACAACTACACGCGCTACACCACGGTGATTCCCTTGCAGAGCAAGGCCGACTTCCCTTGGATCCGCGCTGTTCGTCGCTAGCTGAGCGCACGGTTTTGTTAGGACCTTTCGGTGCTCCGTCTCCACTCTTGCAGTGGAGGTAAGTTTTCCTCCGGACTTCTTAAGGGCTTCTGTCGTAAGGAGGAAATCACCTAGTCGTTCACACTTTTAGCTTCTCCAGCATAATGGGATTGCTGAGCACCGCATTGGCTTGGTCATGGAGGTTGCTCGCACCTCCATGATCCATGCAACTTCTCCCTATTTCTTGTGGCGGTCCGATACGCCACGCATCCGCTCAACCTCTAGCCCTGTGTCTCCCAGCCATAGACCTCGCTTAAATTTCATTGGACGAGGGAGGTAGGCGATGCGTCGGCGTTTCGGGACTGGGGTTCGCTTGCCCTTATCCGCAATACCACCGCGAGCAAGATTTTTCTCTCGCACCGTTCGTTGTGTCTTCCTTGGCTTTCCCAACAGCACGTCGGGGTGGCAGTTTCACCACCCGGCTACACGTCGTGTCCTGTCCTCCCAGGACGTCACCTTTGACGAGTCGATTTGCTTTAACCATCTCAGGTGTGTCCTCCTCCCCTCCGTCCTTGCGTTTTTCTCCCTCAGGTGTGTCTCAAGTCACACGACCCCCTTTGGTGGAGCCTTTGGAGGTCTCCTCTGGCCTGGCTGAGTGGGGTGACCCTGCTATTAACGACACTGCGGCCTCTTACCACTCGCCGCGCTTGGAGATCCCTCATGGCTGTCCACATCGGTCGTCTTTGCCACCTCTACTGCCTGTCGCTGTGGACTCTGGTGCTTCTAGAGGTGGTGGCGCTGGAGGTGTGGGCACTGACGCTGGAGGTGCTAGTCCTCGGGGTGCTGAGCCTGGGGGTGCAGCTGCGTGAGTGGGTAGTCGAACGCTGTGCTGACAATGGAGGTGCTGGTTCCGGGGGTGCTTTTGTTGCGGTGCTGCCACTGGAGGTACTGAGCCTTCAGTCGCTGACTATGGAGCTGGAGGCGCTGGAG